TCTGCTTTTCATCTCTCCATATTGTCGGAAGTTTGACTTCTAAACTTCCTTCGATAATATACTATCTTAGTTTTTTTTGAATGTATGGTGTAATCTACCAAGATCCCGCTCAGAGAGGCATCAAGTCCCGTGCGCCTCAGTGGTTGTCGACACCAACTGCACGTCTCAGCTGGAGGCACCACAGAGCTTTGGGGATCCTCCATTTTGAGAAACTGCCAGACAAGGGTTCAACCACTATGAAACACATTTTTCAATGGGGCAAAACAGAATGAAACACATTTTGTTGCGGGATGATGGTCTCCTGATGTCCAAGGATGATGTTGGAAGATGTCATGGGTGTGGCATCAGTTGATATAAGTACGTATATTTGGTTTCAGATTCTTCCAGCCGTTTACATGGGTCTGGTTTTTGGGGATATTTTTTAGATCTTCGATCGGTTGATTACGACACTGCCGACTCAACTAAGCCCTGGATGCAACAACAGGACTCAAGACTTCTATTGGAAGGATTGTTTGATGGTTGTCCTCAACTAAGATTGGCTGGTGAATTTTATGAGTCAGGCGGCCCCATTTGGCGCAACGCTTCCCAGGGTGCCTCGTCAGTCGGTTGGGATGGAAGCAGGAGATTGCAGGAGGTTTTTTCGCGAAGGCAACCCATGGAAACCCGAAAAAAAGGCTGCATAGTACCATTATTCAATTTTTACAAGGCACATGACATGTTTTTAAAACCAAATTTTACATTATTCATTCATTACTCATTACATTTTTTCATTATTCAATTTTTACCAGATTTTACAAGGCATCGAAGAATATGAAAAAATCATAGACGGCAACAACCCCCAAGCGGATCCGCGGCAGGTAGCCAGTGCACGCCACCTTCTCAGAGGCCACCACCAACAGAGGCCCCAACAGGGTCCGAAAGTCTTGGAATGACTCCATTCACAGTCAAATTTGAGTTTCAATTCCAACGTGCATTGAACCCATGTTAACCCTGTTTTCTAGGTTTATGGATTTTGATGCTCAAAAATTGATGGGGATATAAAATTGAAAATCAATGGTAAGATTGGTAAGCACAAGACCAATTTTCCAAAGATGTAGAATTATCTCATCTGCGGATCCGGACTGTTCTGCATCCTCTTTTGGACCAGGCTTGCTTCAGTGAGCCGGTGTCTGAGTTTCCGCACAATTGCTGGGCCGCCCTTCAAGTGAGCATTAAAAAACAGATGATGCTGGGCAGATTGGCCAGATTTTTGCAAGCATGAGGATAGGTTTGTTACTCTGACCTTTTGCAAGACTGCGGCAATTTGGATGGACCTCCTCTTCTTCTTCTTCCTCTTCCTCCTCCTCCTCCTCCTCCGCATCATCATCATCATCATCATCATCATCATCGCCGCTATCATTGCAAGCGGTCATTATTGTCCTCCATCCGAAACGGAACCTCAGGTCAACTTCCAATCTTCGACCTCGCATGGACTCGGCCATGGGGCCCAGTTTGTGGGGCCAGGGTTGCCACCTGTGGCCGCTAATCATTGGCCGCTAAATTAATCAAGGTCCAGTGAAGACACTGAAGCGAGTTAAAATTATGGATGGAGCAGCCATGGTTCGTTAATGATTGAAAAATTGTGATTAAGGCTTGATTAACAATAAACGTGCCATAACGTGCCCATTCATCAAATCAACCATAAATCAACCATTAATTACCATTACAGTAGTCAACCATTAATGTACCATTAATGTACCCGGCTGGCATTTTTCGGTGACGGTGCTGAAAACCCCTGCCATTTCGTGTCAGCATGTACCGAGGCAATGACCTTTGGAGGGTTCGGAGCTCAAAAGATTGTGCACCTCGGTGGGTTGATCAACTGGAAGCTGCAAAAATGCTGCTTGGAGCACCAAGAGATACCAAGAGACTGCTTGGAGATGTTATAGTGATGTTATATCATTGTTATTTATAATTATATCATATCATAGGTTCATCATCACTTTTTGATTTTAACCTATACTTGCGAAGATCAACCCCAACCGAAGACCATTTTTTGAATATTTTCAGTAGATTTACAGCCAGTTAGAATGACAGGCTTGGCTGAAGGTAGCGTACCATGCTGAAATCAAATCAACGCTAGGTCACGGATGGACGGCGACACATCGTTGGCCTTTAGCAGTTGAACCTGCATGTTTGCAGCTGGGTTGTGGTGGGCTGGAACACATGGACAGTGCCAATCTTGGGTGCACAATTTGTGACTGCTTGGGTTTCTTGAGGTCCTTCGCAATAAAATCAAGGCCCATTAAAAAACAGCTGGGATAAGTCCTATCATGTCCTATTGGTTCAGAAAATGGTTCAGAAAAAGTCCTCGCCTCGCCTTGCAGTGTTTCCAAGGCGAGCACATGTTCAGGGAAACTGGGCTGTGATGATAAAAAACGGTAGGATCGTTTAAGATACATGGATTTCCCAAGCGCACATGACCAATATTTGACTGATTTGGGGGTTCCAGGGTTCCTCATTCATTGATATGACATGATATGACATCATATTGACATATATTAAAGTGGGTTTGTCGTGCTTTATCATCACTTTCCCAATTTTCACGTTGCAATTTCGGAGGTATACTACCCCATGTTCAGACACACCCTCATGACTCATACCATACCATTGGTTATATCATGTCATATCTCCAATCATATTATATATCATAATCTCAAAATATCTCAAAATCAAATGCAATCCTTCTTCATAGATTATGTTCCCATATAATATCATATAATTATGTTCCTATATTTTCCTATGACATGACATGACTTTGGGAAATTTGAACCGCATCCCTCGCATTCGGCGACATCCTCACGCCAGGCATTGGTGGTCCATCAAGGCGCAAATTTCGATCAACTGAAGCCATGATTTGTAGCTTAGCTGTAGGTATAGATATAGGCAGGCAGGTACTGATTCATAATGGGTATATGAAGAATTACTTACATCTTGATTTGTGTCTTTTGAAGTTTTTTTTTCCATCCCTGAGTTGACTTAGGCTTCAGATTTATGTCATCCCCCAAAAAAACTGCTTCTTGCGAGGAGAAAAACATGCCCCCCCAGCTTTCCGCAGGTCATTGCGGCCGCCACCTATGGGCTCAATTGTTCCCAGTCGTGAGGCGACACTTCCGGGAAGACGATGGTTGTAACTTGCCCTTCGGTCATCAAACGTAGAAGGAAAGGTGATGGTTTTCCAGAGGTGTGTAAAAAAAAATGATCAGAAGGTATTTTTGGATAGGCCTCTTAAGCAAGTCTATTCAAATCTTGGGGGTTTCTCAAAAGGGCGAACTCCAAAATCATCCTATAAATTGGTAATTTGAAGCACTGAAAACCAATGAGAAAGGATACCCCAAAATGAGCCAGATATTGGTTAATTCACTTTTGACAAATCAAAAAAGGATCATTTTTTTGGGTGGCCCTCTTGCGGGGCACGGGGGTCGCATTTGCCCCTACCTCATGTCGGGTCGCATTTGCCCCTACTCAAGGTGGAGGTAGGGGCGAATGTGACCCTAGGGTAGGGGCGAATGTGACCCCTGCTTTTGTGTGGCAGGCGCAATAGTTTCAGAGCCTCGAAAGGATTTTTTCCAGCTCAGATAGTCATTTTCACGTGTTACGTTGTAAAATCCATTTCAAGCAACTCCAAGACGCTGGAAGTTTCGTTGTAACATCCATTTCAATCAACTTCCCAGACGCTCTGGATGCTATGTTGACCACAAGTGTTCATTGCTTTCTAGCTTAGATCCAGGGCCCCTAAATACCGAGGATTGCTACCTCACCCCCCTAACCAATGTCCCCAAGTTCCCCCTAAATGTCCCGTGTCCCCAGGTCAAACCCTAAAAGGTTGAATGACATATTCAATAGTGAGGCAAGTGACTTAACCAATGTCCCCAAGTCCGCCCTAAATGTCCCGTGTCCCCAGGTCAAACCCTAAAAGGTTGAATAACACATTCAATGGAAAGGATAGTGGGGTAGGGGCGAATGTGACCCCTTTTGGGGTAGGGGCGAATGTGACCCGTGTCCCGTTCGGGCCAATCCAAGTTCTTGAAAGTCAGCCAAGACAGCTGCAGATTCCAACATCAGAAGCAGAATTGTGTGGTTGGTGTGATTCCTTTCCTGTTCCCAACATCTAATCATGGTCATTTTCCAGACTTTCCACCAGTCCCATCCCAAATCCCTGGCGCATCCTGGCTCCAAGCGTCAGGAGCGAGGCCCAACTGGGGTGCGGCTGGACTCCCCCAAAGTTATAGTTGGATGGTTTGCTAAGGGACCAATAAAGGGACCAACTTTGTGGGCTGGTATCCCAGTTTTGAATATGTTCCCAAGTGTCAAGTTTTGTTATGACTGGTACAAGGTGAGCATGGTTGGAAACATCGATCCATAATCCATGCCTAAGCATCGCATATTCCGCTTGGGGCAGTATGATAACTTCCTCTCCAAGTGAGGGTTTCTTAAAATGGGGGATCCCCAAAAGCATGGTCTAATGACTTGGATGATTTGGGGGTACCCCCATTTTAGGAAGCATAGACGTACTTGTCCCTGGAACGTGTGAGAAACCAGCTGCAATGAGACATTCCTGACAGTTCAACCTTGTCTTGCATCCTTCGCGTCTCGTCAAATTGGTTTGGGTCATTATTTATGTTTGTCTCCCAGAAACTTGAAACGGATGGTTTAAACGATACGACACATAACCAATTTTGGTGCATCGGTTTATCCTTTGTTTGACCACCCACATGTTTCTTCCATGCCCTGGTAGGCGGCGCCTCCCGCAGTGAGTCCTTCTCCCCGCAGAGTGGACGTGAGAGCCCGCAGAATCTGCCGCCTGAGGGGTCAATTTCCCCACAGCAGATGCAACAGTTGCCGAGTTTCCCCATGGGACCAACTTCTATGGCAAATGGGTCCTTTGCACCACAAAGCCTGGTGCAGGGCTCAAGTTCCCTACAGCATTTACCGCTTCCACCGCAGGGATCCATTTCACCACACAACTTTCCGCCACAGGGCTCCCAGAATTCCGCAGGGCTCCATTGCACCGCAGAACTTCCCACCACAAGGTTCCATTGCACCACAGAGCTTTCCACCGCAAGGTTCCATCGCTCCCAGAATGCCTCCGCACGGCTCCATTGCACCGCAGAACTTCCCACCACAAGGCTCCATTGCACCACAGAGCTTTCCACCGCAAGGTTCCATCGCTCCCAGAATGCCTCCGCAGGGCTCCATTGCACCGCAGAACTTCCCACCACAAGGTTCCATTGCACCACAGAGCTTTCCACCGCAAGGTTCCATCGCTCCCAGAATGCCTCCGCAGGGCTCCATTTCACCACAGAACTTCCCACCACAAGGTTCCATTGCACCACAGAGCTTTCCACCGCAAGGTTCCATCGCTCCCAGAATGCCTCCGCAGGGCTCCATTGCACCGCAGAACTTCCCACCACAAGGTTCCATTGCACCACAGAGCTTTCCACCGCAAGGTTCCATCGCTCCCAGAATGCCTCCGCAGGGCTCCATTGCACCGCAGAACTTCCCACCACAAGGCTCCATTGCACCACAGAACTTTCCACCACAAGGCTCTTTGACCATTCCACCAACTGGCTCTTTTACACCACCAGGAGGAGCAACGCAATTTGGCAGCATTTTCAACCTTCTAGATTGGATGAATCGAATTTTCATCGACTTTCTTCAACTGTGGAGGGTGAGAGTGTGTAGTTGGCTGTTTGCATCCTGACATTGCATGATGCAACCGCATTCAGAGGTATTTCAACATCACAGTTTGCGCCATGTATTATGCCACCTCCCCGCACAAAAATCAGGACAAGTATCCTGAGAATGCAATTAAGGAGCCCCAGCAAAAACAATCACTGTTTGGTGGTTTCAACTATTCATCGTTCGCCTTATGTATCCTTCTTTGAGATTGTGAGACCCAGTGGACCAATTGTTTTGGGCGCTGTCAAGGCCTCAATTTCGGCCCCCCACGGCCGCGTAGGCGTGATCCAGGGCTGGATGATAAGCAAACAGAGGTGTCAGAGTCCTCTTTTTCGTGATGTACAATGAGCTTTCATGTTTTTTGAATCTACATGGAAAAATCATGTCAACACAATAAGAACTGTGAAACATATCTATTGGTGATTAAAACAAGTGGACAGCAAGTGAATGAAGGCTTGGAGGTGGCAACAGTGTTCTTCCTTAGCCGCTGCTGTTGCCAGGGATGTGAGAGTCGGCCTTGGTGCAAGCTCAGTAGCAAAGAATTTCTACTAGCACCGGCTGTAGAGATCCTCCATTCGCGCTTCCCGCTGCGTGCGGAGAGCATGCAAATGTCTCGATGTGGCGGAACTTGCCAACATCAAATCTGATCAAAAAAAGGATTAGTTGTTTTGTTCATCCATACTGTACCTTAGAACAGGTAATGTGGCAAATCCAATAGTACACCATACTCCGTGCACCCAGATTTGCTAGTTGAAAAAACATTATATATATATTATATATTATATCATATATATATTATATTATATTATATCTAATATATATATATATATGTAATATATATAATATAATATATATATATATTTATACATATATATAATATATAATATATAATACATAATATATATTATATAATGCATAATATTTAATATATAATATATTATATGTAATATATATATGTATAAATACATAATATATATATATTATAAATATAATATATATATAATATATTATATATATATTATAAGATATATAGATAGATATATATATAATATACATAATATAAAATAATATATTTATATAGATATAGATCTTTTGGGGAATATCCAAACGGAATAAGACATATAACCTATAAGCCACCCCAAAAAGAGGTGGTTATAGACTTACCAGATTTTGAGAACGTCCTTACCGTCGCTCAGGATTTTCTCCAACAGTTCTTGTTCAATGTAGCAAACCATGGGCAATCTAATAGGAGTGTTTTGAGGACATTAAGGATCCTTGGTGGTAGAACCAATGGCCCCAAAACCGATTCCCATATTCTGATGAACATTTCGTGACAACATATTTAAATTTATGATGTTTCTTTCCTTTCAGTCTTTCTTTACATCACCTCCAGTATCATAACATTTGTTCTTACACTTGAATACATTGGGTGCTCGAACAGCGCCCGAACACATCATATGCATTCATATATACGCTTCTCCGAGCAAATTGATTTTGATCGTGATCGAAATCGTAAGGGTCCAACGATAAATTTCGGGTATATTCAAACGACTCCACATATATAATTGCATCTTGTAACAACAAGGGAATGCTCCCAGCACATGTTCTTGACACCTATACTTTTGACCTCTACACCATCCCCCACCGTAGAGCCACCGTAGGGCCGGTGGATGGTTGATCCTTGGACCAGTGAGAGGGAAAGGACAAAAACTCTTGTGTTTCTGGCCGTGTCACTTTGGCTCAAGATTGATTCAATCGTAGCGTTTGACCCGGTCCCCTGAGCAACGACAGCCGCAACTTGCTACGAATCTCATGTCTTTGGTCTTCGGGAGTCTAGCCTTTTTGAGCAGTTCTTTTTGCATATGATTGCAGAAATATTGCCTGGTTGGTGGTTTCAAACATTTTCTATTTTCCATAATATATGGGATAATCCTTCCCATTGACTAATGTGGCATATGTGGCAAAGTGATGCAAAGTGACCTGCAGAAAAGCAACGCTTCCAAAGCAGCAACGTTTGCCGAGCGCTGGTGCCAAGCCCCTGGGCGCCGGGCGGAGGCCGAAGAGGCGAGGATGCGGCGTTGCCATTTTCGTCGCCTTTTTGTTGGTCGAGTCAGAATGCCTGGTTTATGATGGTTTATGGGGTTTATAACTGTTTATTGTTTCACGATTCATCATGTTTCATCCAGTTTTGATTTCTTTCGAAAAAAATCAGCAAAAAGAGCATGAATTATTATCCTATAATTAGATATAATTAGATTAATAAGCTCATGGTGGCTGAACAAAAAGCCACCACTAATTGTCTTGGACTCATTCCTCAGGATCTCTAAAGTGGTTCTGGTTTCGCGCTCCCCTGGAGCCAAGGACGGTCATGGCGGTCATCATGGGAGCTTCCAATGGCTTAACGAGGTGACTGGCCACATAACGCCACTGAAAAAGTGGGTGTGGTGCAGCTACCATCGAGCTGCAAACTTGGGATGAGGGGATGTCTGAAAGTGCGGGAATAGCCCATGTCATGGCTGTTTTGATGGCGAAACTTATGATAAATTATGGGTTTCGAGTACTTGATTCAGAAACATTGCCATAATATGACGGAATATCAGTTTCGGAGTCCTGTGGAGCCAGGTTCAGCTCGCTGGAATACCAGGCCATCATGCCTGGGGGCTCAGAGATGGACGGAGCCAGGCTTGGTCACGGTTGGTTATTTCAATGTTTTTTTTTGAGTATTTTATTAAACCAGATGAAACCAGATGAATTTGAGCCGCAGTTATTGAGGAAGATGAAGAATCTTCCTAGGGCCATACCATAGCTGCCATAGCTGAGCTAAATTTCTGGAGGGTACATCGGTACATCTCCGTCAATCACCATGAAAATCATAATGATTAACCATGATGAACCATTATCAACCATCAATAATCATCCATAAATCATTATAAACCAACTATGATGTACAATCTGGTAATATCTGGTATATAGTCATCTATTAACCATAAATTTATCAACCATTAAATCATCTATAATCCTATCATCTATTAGTAATCATCGAAAAAAACCATGAATTATCAACCATTAATCATTATTGACCATTATGATACCATTTGAACCATGCTGGGGTCACGGCATTTTTTCTCCGAATGTACCGAGCCGCCGAGCCGGCTCCTTTTGTAGTTACGTCCGGCTGTCCTGAGGTTCAGCCTGGCCTTTGCCATGTGTGTCCTGGCCACATCGCTGGCGTTTTCTCAGGATTTTTTTTCGCCATGTATCACTTGATTTTTAGGATGATATAATGATATACTATGCTTATTGTACAATTCTCGAAGTACTGTATAATTATCTATGATTATACTATGACTATGACTATACTATGATTATACTATGACTACACTACTTAAGTGCTGTATAATTATCACATATGATCACTATTCTGAATAGAAGCTCACTATTGTCATCTTACTAGAACAATCAACTACCCTCTGGTAAACTAACATGGCTATTGAAAATGGCCATTTATAGTGAGTGTTCCCATTAATAGCATGGTGATTTTCCATAGCTATGTAAACGTTTACCAGAGGGTATGATGTTGCATCTGCTGGTTGGACATGACCGCTGAGGCGTGACCATGGCCATAGTGGAGGTGGTGATGAAGCGCTTTGCCTTGCTCCCCGTGATCTTTCCGGGCGTGTTGCTTGGGTGAAACATGGTGAAACTGTGGAGATGGGGGGATTTAGTGACCAAAAGGCTGTGAAAACTTGGGATTTAGCCATGAAAAGCGGTGGGAATGGAAGCACCACACATTGTCCAAGACCTGGACATGCTCCATTTGAGTGCTGGATGATCCATTGGAGGTACCCCAGACCAAAAGTGACCTATATATATATATATCATATCCACATCCCTTGATGTTGATCATATTTTTAAGCGGTGTTTTTGGAACAATCGAGTTAGGCTAGTTATAGGTATGTTTTCTTCCTGACCATGGGTGACCAAAAGTGACCATAGTTTGTTGTTGGAGATCTTGATATAACTGATTTCTGGCATAGATTCCAATTGAACATCGTCCCGCAAAAGGGGGATGTTTTTTCAATGGACCTGGTATACCCCGAAATCCAAATCCCCAAAGAACCATAGCATATTCAATGGGGAACATGATGATCAACCATGGGATTTTTGGATAGGCCATTTTCAGACCAACCCCATCTCTTCTGAAGCAAAGATCCCCATTTTCGTCAATTTGTGGGAGGTTTGCGATCCGTGAGAAGCGCTTGTACTTCTTTGATATCGAAGTCAAAGAGGTGTCCGGAGACCCAGCGGACCCAGCGGAATTCCAATCTTTTTTTTTCGGCAGATTTCATGGGAACTCCATTTCTTGGGTGTTGAAGAACCATGGTTTATTCATGTTTCTTCCAGATTTTCCCAATGAATTTCAACGACCAGTGGCCTTTTTTGTGAACCCAAGGACGGTGGGCAAAGCCCTAAGATGGGAGGCGATGATGTCACACTGGCCTGTTGCTCATTGTGGCGATAGGCGTGGCCCTAGGCCGGTAGCATTGGTGAATAGGTGGTGCATGGTGTGACAACATCCTTACATTGAGGTGGTGTGGGAGATCTATCTATATCATGTTTTTAAGTGAATCAAATTGATACCAGTATCAGTATACTGTATTGTACTGTAATTCTTCACGTCATACATTAGCGCTACTAGTACTTTGAACTGGCCATTCATCTGTTGAGGCCACAACGGCCCACGGCGATCGAAAAAGTGGAACACAGATAGACGTGGGGAACTCACCAGAGGAAAAAAAACAGGACGCAGTGCACAACGACCAATCCATGGTGGAGTAGTTTCAGTTGAAATATACATATATACAATCTGGTTGGTGGTTTGGAACATGGCTTTGATTTTTCCATATATTGGGAATAATCATCCCAACTGACCAAGTCCATCATTTTTCAGAGGGGTAGGTCAACCAGTGTCAACCACCAACAAGTCTTCAGAGTTGCCAGGACCATGAGAGTCACCCTCGCGGTGGTTTTGTCCTACCTCTGGGAGTTCTGTGTTTTCAAGTCCACCACCTCTGTCTGGGGACCCGTGGTTTTCAGACCGTCCAAGAGCCAAGTCTTAGGTTGTGCCCCTTGAGACAAGATGTAGCCCGGGGAATGGGTATGGGTTACATGTGGTTACATGTTAAAACTTCTGGGCCCAGTGAGGGGTTTTGACATCCATAAATCCATCCCTTGGGAAACGCCAAAACGAATCGTTCTCCAGGTGGGGCGTGCTTTCCCGCTGCAGCAGTGCCAAAGTGGTATGGATTGTGGGGGCCCAGTGCCGTAAAACTCGGGTGCAAATCATGGGCCATAAATTCTTCATGCCAGGTCCGCCAAGTTCAACTGGTGGCCGTTTTGACATTGGAAGATCTTTGGCATGGCTTGGGTGCATTTTCGTAGGATGTTAGAAGAATTGTGACTGAAAAAGGATGAAAAAGATCTTTTCTTTAAAGAACGAGCTGTCCCAAGCAGCGCAAACCGATTGATGTGGTTCAGAAGCGATGCTATATTGCTATATATTGCTATATAAATGGTGCACATAAAAAAAAACACACAGGCCAAAAGATTGGTGTTATGGGATGTTCCAGGGGAACCCTCTACACTGCGCCGCCCTTGCTAGCTGAATGGCTTTCCAAGATCAAAGTCATGCAAGCCATGGAATCAGAAGCCAAAGTCATAGCTGGGGCATGAACAAATCAAAAAAAGCACGGCCAATAAGTTCCATGTGTTTCATTTCGAACTAAGAACCTTCAAGAAACTCCGACCTTTGTCACGTTTTTTTCCGTCAGAAACGGAACTTGCGTCCCGCCTGCGTTGGATCTTGATGCGATGCATAACTTCCTCTTTTTGAAGGACACCAGCATCATCCAGAGCTCCGAGTTCCGGCAGCCAGTGGTGATCGACGTGTATTTGCCCAGTGGTCGTTGTGCATCCTTGAACTTGGGCAACAAGCCAGGGCTCCTCGTGAGCGACTTGAAATCTGCGGCACAACAGCAACTTGGCACTTGGCCGCGATCCTGGCCACCGGGGATGAAGTGGTTAACCCAACTGTGCTGTTGCCAATCCTTTGAAGAAGTTTCCTGTGAACATCTGTCAATTTGTAGAATTTTGTAGATAAGAATCATATAGCATCATATTAGCAGTGTTCCAGGAACAGCATCCACTACTCTCAATACACTCAGTATCGTGTAGTTTGACTTTCGTTTTCCTTGTGTTTTCCGGTGACGAATGGGAGCTGTCCTTAAGTGAAGCTGAACTGCTGGGAGCACTGGGATGTCTGGGATGTCTGGGATGTTGAGGCGGTTCAGTTCACTGAGGCACTTCGGAAAGCAACTCCTAAGACTCATTTCGACCGATGCTTGGTGCTCCATGAGTCGGTTGGTGGATTTAGTACCTGGCAGGAGCAAAAAAGGATACCCTCTGGTAAACTAACATAACATAACTATGGAAAATCACCATTTTTAATGGGTAAATCCACTATGAATCACCATTTTCAATAGCTACGTTAAATTACCAGAGGGTAAACAAGATCATGGGAAGTGAAAGATGAGAACACTGGAAAGATCCAATTTGGAATGACGAGGCATATGTACGGTATATGAATGTAGAACCCAGATGATTCATGGTGTTGATCTGATTTGATTGTCACAAACAGCTCAAACCATGATACTCAGATACTCCACCAATCTCAAAAATACAGTCACTCCAATAAGCCTAGCATGCCTAGATATTTTGCCCATTTTTATGGAATTGTTGATGCAACCTGCATCCCAACATCCCCATCCTGCATCCTTCGCATTCCTTCGCTGCCAGGAAGGAAGATTTCTGGAGCCAGAGTGGTCCCTGGCAGAAGCCGGTCTCACAGTGACTTGGACTTGTCCAGCGACTTGTCCCGCGCGAGTTGGATGGCGCCATGGGAATGAATTTCACATATTTATAGCGGCTATAAGTTGGGATATGACCCCCTACAACAATCTACAACTATGTGGTATATGAATGTATATGAATGTACATGATTCGTTACTAAGTCTAGATGTTACTAGTATCTAACAGTATCTAACATCTACGATAGCCACGTAGAACTGGAACTGCCGCCCCAAGCAAAGCAAACCTCCCATTTTTCTGGGCTTATCTTGAATGTATGAAGGACGTGACATTGAATGTGGGGTTGCTTTGGTACTGTACCTCACCACTTCACCACCTTTTTACGAGCCATAGCCATGTCACCCACACTCTCCAATGTGGAACTCTGAGGATGGCTCCACTGTGACTGCCGTAGTGCAATCCGTCAGCCTTGCTTTGCTTCAGTGATTTGAGGTGTTCATTTTTTTCGTTCCCCCTGTTCAGGTTTGAAGATAGATGTAATATCGCAAGGTAGAAAGATAGATGTTGTTACTTGATGATGTTTGATTATATTTGATGATATTTGATGATTCCTGATGATTCTTGATGACATTAGAGCAATTACATGTCTTAACATCCTGAAGGAGATTAACGCAGCAAGAACCTTTCGCATACATCTCTGGTGAGGCTACGATAGCTGCATCTGACGGTGCATTCGCAGTTTGGTGCATCGGCGGTCATGTGGTTTCTCGCCAGACTGGTCTTGCCAGGGTAGGTGAGCTGTTCTCAGTAGCTATTGCCAGCATTCCTTGGCAAGTCTGGTCATGAGCGTCAAGATTGTGCAAGGAGCATAGTTGTATATATTTGGATGATAGAATGAGTATATAACCATGTACATCTTTGAAAGCTTGTTCTGATTCTGTGATGATCTACTAATGTTGTACAACGTTGTAAACAACGAGTCATTGTGAAATCCAGAACGACACTTGACCAGAGAATTTTAAAGAACTATGCTACGTGAAATCATGCATGGAATTCTCATATCTATTCTCATATTTACCTTAACTTTAATATTTTGTTTTTACATGATTTTACTATAATATATCTTAGTAACATGATGTAGCTAAATCTCACCACTTCGGCGTCACAAAATCAGAAATCCTTCGCCTGACCTGCATCGTGCAGGTCACATGGGGAGATGGTCAATGTGGAGGCGACAGCGACGTGGTGAAGGATCAACTGACGCACGTCCTGAAGGTCCAAACCACGGGGAAGGCCTTCGCAGCCCTGAAGTCCGATGGAAAGGTGGCAGCTCCGACAGAAGGAGAGCCATCTGGGGAGGTCATTTTTTCTGTCAGGATTCTTCAGTGATGTCAGGTTTAACATGGTTTAACTGTTTAACTATTTTTTTAAAGACAGAATTTGTAGCTTATTAGCTGATGTTGATGAAATCAGATTTGGGTATTACATCCATAGCCCTAAATGGATCAACAATGGGGTTCATCCTGGGTCCAAAGCTGATCGTGGATATATACACTCTTAATTTCTATGAACATGAAGATCATTTTTTGTTTCAAATAGATGTTCATTGCGAGCTGCTTAACACATCTTAACTCTCTTTCAATCTATTTCATGATGTTCGCTGGCATCTACCTGGCTGGTTTTAAGGGGAAATCCATGGAAATTGCAGTCCCATGCTGTTTATGTACTGCAATGTTCGCAAATACAGTTTCCTGATGTTTCCTGCAGATGTTCCCAACAAACCCAGACAACCGACGTTTCGTAGCTTTCGTAGCTCAGGTCTGTTGGGGGCATCCCAATTTTGGCGGAGACAACCGACGAGTGCAACATCTTCTGGACAAAGCTCAGGCCAGGGCAAATCTGCCGGAAACCCATGGGTTTTCTGTGTGAAATCTGCGGCTTTCCTTTTTTGGTTTCCATAAAAAAAGTACCAAGATGTACCAAGTACTGAGATATTTTCAGGTCCACTAATATGATATAATGATGGCCACAACAACAAGTAAGTATCTAAGTATCACCATCACCAACTTATGTGGTGTATGATGGGAAAAAAAATTGCATATTACTGGTGTATACCCCTACTTGGGATGATTTATAGCAACATATCGCCAGCAAATGGTTGATTATTGGGGATGGTTTATTGGCACATTCCGAAGCTTCATATCAGAAGCCGTGGTCCCTCAGATGGTAATCCCAAAAAACAACCAAAAATCACAGAAATATGCAGTATCCATAAAAAGTATAAATGAACCCTCACTAAACAACGTGGTTGGTTGTTCTAAATCAGTCATTCATAAACCAAGCAATTCTTATTGGGGTTCACGAGTTGAATCCCAGGACATTCAGGCGACCCGCCATGCATTCGCGGCGATTCTCGAAGATAGCAGTGTCATAGCATGGGGACACTTGGTCGCACGGCGAATCAGGGTTTGACTTAAGCAGGAGCCATCGAAATCGCTAGACGGAAATTGCCTTCCTCCACACACCTTTGGTCAGGCTCCCGCAATCTAAGCTGGTAGTGGGAAGTCCATGGAAATCCCCTATGTTAAATACTGTTTACAGTAACAATAAAGATAATGAAGGACAAACGTCGTGAGAATGGGATCTTCGAGGCAGGTCAGCTTAGCAGAGGCCACCCAACCAGTGACACGTTCCGCAGGCGACCCAACCAGTGGAGGATCGAACAGCGACGTATATCGACTCTTGATGGAAATGGTTGATGGTTGAGGCGACCAGGCTTGAACTCATATGACGAATGACTAATTTACATATGAGGGCGGGCCAGACCGCGAGGCCCCGGAGGTAGTATGAAATACCAGTTCGTATATTTAAAAGTCCGTATATTTAAATGTAGTTACCGTACGTATTAATGTTGTGGTCAATATTAGTTACATAATGTGTCATATATCATATATGATATATGATACAGTGACCAATCCAACTATGGGCATCAGATATTTGTTCCCGTTCCACCGCTCTGCAACGCTCGCAATTTCTGTGTTGCTGGAAGATCTCCAACCATCACTTTTCTTCACACTTCTTGCCATCTATATAATTAGGAGTCGTATGATTAACCAATATAAACAAGGTTTATTATACTATCATATACCATCATATACCATCATATACCCCATTTCTTAGACAAATCCAAGTTTCCAGATATCAGTTTTCAGTTTTCATCCCCTATTTCTGTTTGGTTCACATCCCATTTTCTTGGGTTCATATCAGGGGAAATCCCAGCATGGCGTATGTTTTGCAGGTAAACATAGGGAAACAACACATCTTCCTAGGGATTTCCCGAACACAATCAATCCATTAAATCTTAGGGTATCACCATGTTTGTGAATGTAAGTATAGTAATTTCCAATTTTCCTCGCTGAAGCCTCCATTTGTGTTGGTTAAACCATCAATTTAAATTTTAAACCATATTAAAACCATCAATTTAAAACATGTTAACCCCCATGCAATCTAAGATATCTAAGGACTGAAAGGTGTTGAGCAGATTCAGAGCACCGACCGGGCCTTTGCTGCCATCTTGTCCAACGGCACAGTGGCCACCTGGGGCATGGGCGATTCAGGGGGCGACTGCGGTGAGGTTCAGGACCTCTTGCGCCAGGTCCAAGAAATCCAGGTGCCTCTGAAGTCGCGTATCGGATCTGAAGTTTGGTGGTGTAAAAAATATGTGTTATGATGTGTTTTTTGATGTTTTTTGTAGATGGTGTTTGGTAATAACCTGGTAACATGTTTGTCATTTGGTTTATATAATTTTAAGGTTCTGTTGTCTCTTTTTTGTGTTGCTGGTGTGCTGTTGCGCTGCTGGTGTTGCTGAGTTTTGGATCGGTTGGAACTGTCCATGTTCCGGGCATACCCCAACCCATCATTCGAGCACATGCGGCGGATGCCATTGCTTTATGTTCCATAAATGTCCTTTCCTCACGCATCGTGGTTTGTTGACGGTACCTGTTGTTGAACTACAAATAGGAATAAGTAAGAACATGATGGAACAAAGAGTATACCCGACCGAACTAAACTAATTCTTTCAACTTGAGGACATCATTCCCAAGCGCTCCATGTATGAGATATTTACCAACATTTACCCCATGACAGTTCATGTCGAGTGGTTCAAATTGGCTACTGGCAAATTAAAACATACCAAAAAGAGTCCATTTGCGGCTTATTTTTTACCCATAGCCAGCAAATTATGTACTACCTGTTCTCAGTATCAAGCGATCATATCCTGCATTGGGTCAAACCCCCACATTTTGGTGCTCCATTTTTGACCCATGGTGCCATAAAAAATCCCCATGGTTTAAGACCTCAGTTCCACAATTATCTGATGATATTTGAGGACCATAAAGTGGGATATCCCCCATGGATTTTGGACAAACTCATAGCTGGGACGTTTCCCTGTACCAATGGAAAGTATATACAGTTTTTTTTTTACAATTGCTTACCCCATGAATGTCTCATTTAGCATCAACATCCCATTGATATCATGCATATACTCTCATATTGTACTTCAATATGCTGGTTAAACCTCAATTAATATACCATGATTATCCCATGCTGGCATTATGGTTTGTTAATACCACTAATATTCTTTCTATTCTACCTACAGTATATTCCATATAATGTCATATAATCCTATATATCCATATCCCATCCCATTAATCGATATTACCCATTCATTAGTATCCCATTGTACTGTTGCTTCATGCCCTATTGTTGGTCAATCTCCCACTTGATCCCCATAAAATCCCCATGAATCAATTTCATCAATATCTACTTCCTTGGTGAAATTCATTTTTTCAAATATGGAAATATGGGAGTATTCCATATACCAATAAATATATATATATATATTATATATATATATATACCAATATGGGATTCATTGATTGATTGTATATAGAAATCAATCCCCCGAAGACATTCCATAGCCCCATAGCCAAGGCGGCCACGGCGGCCACGGCGGCCACGGCTTCGGCCAGGCCTCGGCTCGCGCCTTTGCTGCGCTCCTGGCGGATGGCTCTGTGGTGACCTGGGGTGACCGCAGCTATGGTGGCGACTCCCGACGCGTGCAGCCGGAGCTCGTCAACGTGAGGTCGGGGCGGCCCTGGCGGCCCTGGTTCATGGCGAGGGCGAAATGATCCACCAATGGTGGGTTTTCCATGGTTTTCCACATCGAACTGGCGAAGTTTATAGTAGGGTATCTAATATGTGGGATATTGCCAGCTTAAGATATATTTTTGCATATCAACTGATGGTGATGGTGAAAACCAATTGATTCACCTGAGCAAGAGGCTAAACTCTCCGTGTAGGAGGTATGTATTCGAGCGCTCTCGTATGTAAAAATATGCATCTTGATATGTAAAACGATATAGTGAAGTCCCAAAAACGATAACCTGGGAATCATACTATATGTAAAAGCATTGTGGGAAGTGAAGGGGTGGTGTACATGACATGATGGTGGACACCTGTTCTAGAAGCATCTAGATCATCTAGGCTCTCAGTTGTGGGGTATACGTCATGACCAGCTCACACAACGGAAGATGTGCAAAAGTATGCTGACACTCTTGATCCTGGCCAATTTCTTTATTTCTGATTATTGTAAACAGTTTTGTATCCAAGCACGTATTGCTACAGTATGTGGTAACTAGCTGGATTTGGACGCTCTTTTTGTCTCGCCATTATTCAAGCCTTCCGGATGAGCGTTTTGTATTCTCCCGCTTTCATGCAAGCATTGACGATGACAACGGGCCTCCTTTCCAACATTCCTTGGTTCATGCCATTTTCCAAAAATGTTTCCCTCTTTGAACGATAACGAAAACGATAACTAAACGATAACCATTTCTTGACAAAATGTCCTTCGCTGATGGATGGCCCAGATGCGACAAGATTCTTGAGATGATTCTTGGCCGTTGAATATTATCACTTGCTTATTGCGATCTTTTCGCTGCTATGCATATTCTTTTGCGGCGCCCCATTGCTTTAGTCAATCCTGGTTCATCTCAGGCACACCGGCACACCTGCACCTGCAGGTCCGGTTTGGCGATCTTTCTCCTAGATGAAGATAGCCAAGGCAAAAGCATTGGACCATGGTGATGGTTTGCTACCCAGACGCTGGGGAATGAATGAAAGGCATGGAGCATGTCGCTGTGAGAGCTCATCCAGACTTCTTCCAACATGCTTCAGACGCTGCAGTGGAGGTGTAAAAAGGCTTTCCGCACGCAGTTTGCCAGGGGATGCAAAGGATGCAATCAGGATATACTGTAAAACGATATAGTGAAGTCCCAAAAACGATAACTTTGACCCGAGATCGCATTTTTCAATTGAGGTTTTGCCGATCTCACCTGGAATGGGAAGAATGTGGGATGTGAACGGCATAGCTGGGATAGCTTATAGGTGGCCTATAAATCAGTCGCAATTTGAATTGATGTAAAGATGTAATTTTAAAACTTATATATGTGTAATTCTGCATGTATATATATATATATGAAACTATGAAACTGTACTATGGTGGACCCAGCTAGGAATCATCAGAGCTCGGTGGAATGAGCCACACTGACACTTCGGGGTCGGGGGGGCCCAACAGGCCCAGCCGGCCCAGCAGTTTCACACCCAAGGAGCATTGTTCCAATTTGTTACATGTATCTATCATCTATCCATATCCATATTAGATAGCATACAATAGTATATATATGGATATATGGATAACATGGGGTTACAATGTATATATATATATAGATATCATCTATCATCTATCCATCTCCAACGTTGCCAGGCAGATCGCTGCTTCTGAACGGGCCTTCGCTGCGATCCGCCACGACGGGTCGGTGGTCTGCTGGGGTCCTGCGGAGTATGGTGGCGACAGCCGGATGGTCCGACATCTCTTGGTGGATGTGATGCTCGGAAGACACAGGGGATGGGTAACTACCAGCCATGAAGGCGCCATGAAGAAACAGGGAACCATAGGGAACCAGGCTGTTGCTGGTGAAGTACATATTATTGTACTATTGTACATTATTAGTACAATAGTACAATATCATAGTTCAATTTCTGTTTAGAAAGCCATTAATATCATAGTTGATGGTGAAATATGTGAAATTCCAATGCTTCATCATCATGTTCACCGTCAACATGGTGAGAAATTGGGTTGAAGCACTGTCGTAATATCACTTAATCATCCCATGCATATCCCAGAAATATCCCATCAATATCCCATTAAGACATATTGAAACCATTGTTCGGACAAAGACGAGTCTGGGTTTTATGACAATCATCCCATTAGGATTCAGTTCAACCCCTACTTATGACAGTTGTTGTCACATAATCGCAGAAATGTCACATAGCGATAAACTGTCATACAGTTGTCATATGTGCCATATTGTTGTTTATATCCCGTTATATACCTTCAATATCCATCAATATACTCCGTGTTTGGTTGTTGCTGGTATGTTACCATCGTGCGTGCATTGGTATCCCGTTAATACCTAACCGTCATATTCAGATTGATATCCCATTGATACCCAGTGATACCCATTACGATTGGTTAAGATGACATTGATCTCCCATCAATATCTGAATACTATATACATCTATGTACCATAATATATTGCTTTTAAATTCCCGTTGGTGGATATGATTGATGTCGTTGGTTACATCTCATCAACATCTCATTAATGTACCCACCATTCTTTCTGAAAAAAAAACATGACTTAGAGTATCGATTTGTTCCTGTACCATCACCATTGATCAATATTTAACACTTGCCGTTTGTCAAACAATTCCGTTAACAGATGCCATTTATTCATTTCTGCAAGTCACATATCCTCTTGATTGGGGGAAATTTGGGGATTTCCCCATAAGTATAGCTATCTTATGGGGTTATAATGGGATGAATAAACCATCTACCAACTGGTGCAGGATTTCTTCCATCCACAGTATCCCATTTAATCACATTCATATCCCATCCATATCGTATATTATGGAGATTTCCTAAAATGGGGATACCACCAGTCATCATCCAGTCATGGATGACCATTTTAGTATATTTTGAGAACCCCCCCTTGAAAATCCCACCATTCATATATTCATATCCCATTCATATCCCAATTTTGAGTAAGTTATAGTGACCTCACTGTTTTCCCTCACTGGAATGATGCTTAGTAAGGTAACTATCCCAAGCGAGCCTTATTTCAGGTCAGTGAAATATTGCTTAGTAATCCCATCCTCACCATTTCACCATATTCTGCTATGCACCCTATGCGTATTTTAACACTATACTCATTTACTCAGTAATCCCATCAGAGATATGGCATTTCCCAGTTTTAATGGATATTACTGATATTTCCCAGATTTAACGGATATTACTAATATGAATATGGTGGTTAGGAGTACCCCCAGTCATCATCCATTTATAGATGTTTTTTTTCATGAAATAAACCATCCAGCTATTGGGGTACCCCCAATTTTAGGAAACTTCCATATGGGTAGATATAAGATATAATTATTATATAATTAATTGTTATTTTTTTAAGTATATGAATATAATATATATATATTTATAAACAATGTTTTTTTTTTTTTTAAATGGGTAAATACCATTTATATAGTTAAAAGATGACCCAGATTTCGGTCAGAGAATCGAGGCGTGAGATCCAAGCGGCCCGCGACGGAGGCTTCGCCGCACTACTGGGCAATGGCCGGGTGGTGTGCCTTGGCGCAGGATGGGAGATGGGTATGGAGATGATATGGCTGTTCAATGCTGGTTGAATATGGAGGTTTTCGTCAGAAAACATAGAACGCCATCTGAAAAAAATGGGGCCATGAAGATATAATCTGGATGAAGTATGGTGACATCACTGCTTTCCGTCAGTGGAATGTTACAGTAGATTGGTCTGGAATGATCCCCAAATGGCCTTGTTTCAATTTTCTGAATAGTTACCCTCTGGTTATTTGACATAGCCATGGAAAATGGCCCATTCATAGATGGTCTACCTATTAAAAATGGTGGTTTTCCATGGCTATGTTAAATAACCAGATGGTAATAATTACGATTCAGCCAACTTGTATGGGATGACACGTGATTATCCTCGAGTCAGACTATGACAGACAGTTGGTGGGAGTTGCCTGGAGTCAGACCTCGGCAGCATTCCGTCCCTTTTTCTTCACGGGAAAATCATCTCAAGCATGGTGCAAGTTCCCCAGCAACCATGTTTTGATGATGGAAAGGACATGATTGTCTGAATGTCATGGATGATGACAATACTAAGTGGCTGATAGCATATTTCCAGGATAGGAAGATGAAATTGGCGGATCTTGTGCGATTTTGTGTGCAGGACTTTCATCTATGTTGGGTTGGATGATGGCTACTTCCCTTTCTTATTCGATTTTTAATCGCTTCTCACTTTCAAAAGAACATATTTGCACCAGGCTGAATTGGGTTCCAACAAAACTTGGTCTCCCACGAAACTGTAATTTCAAGAGGGGAACATGTGGTCTTAATGTCTTCATAATATGTCTTAATGATTCTAGTCCATTGAATTTGAGCTACCCCATTTTCAGGCAAACCCATTGCTGGTGGGTGATACTGCCGTTCATTCTTGGCTGTTTTAGGGTATTTGTTGGATAATATCCCCATTTCTGATCGTCCGTCTCCATTGATTGCTGCTCAAAATTCAGTAAAACCTAGTGAAAAGCTAGTAAACCCTCCAAGAACTTGCCGCTTAGCCCAATTTTTCCATATTTTTCCTATGAAAAATTACCCGTTGATCGTCATGAAAAATCACCACTGCTAAGGAGCTGGGGAGATCCCACATTTGGAGGTGACTGCAGCCTGGTTGCGGATCAGTTGAAAGACGTGACTCGGAGCGATGGAAACTCAATGGGATGTGAAGATGCTTTCCCTCTAATCAAACATGGCAATAGGACATCCCCTAAAAAAATGGTGGTTTTAACATGTTTCAATGGGAAGATCATCTATAAATGATGTGTGATGATATATGATGGATGTAATTATTTTCCATTGCCATGTCTGATTACCAGAGGTTAGCATCTGTGGTTCCAAAGTGTGTGGTTGACCTTGAGTGCATGGTCATCATAGGGTGCTGCTGTGATGTTCTGAAAAGAACATGTCCTTTAAAACAATTGGAACAACCGTTGCGATGGAGTCTAGGGTGACGAGCTATAGGGATCCCAAAGAAAAATCAAGCAACCTCTTCCTATCGAGTCGTGGCGATCTATTTTCCATCTTTTTGTTGGGGTCGACATAAATCTACCAACAAAAATAAAATTGTCACCCTGGAGCTTGGCGCATGCTCAAGCGAAATCTACCCATTATGCAAGATATGGAAAACCCACCAGTCGATCATTTTCCCTGGCAAGTCATGGGCTCCACATGGGTTTTCCATGGTTTTTCCAATCTATGTTGGGAAATCTCGCCAGGTTTTCAGCTTTTCTCATGGGAAATCTCGCCATATGCCATATCCATCCAGGTGAGACACATCCAAGCCACCATTGGCGCCTTCGCAGCCATCCTGAAGAATGGCCGCGTGGTGACCTGGGGACATCCCTGCTGTGGTGGGGACATCAGCAGCTTCCAAGATACTCTTCGAAACGTGCAGGACAGCCATGGAGCCATGGGGAGTTCAACGGCTCCGGGTCCGGTTGGGAGCCGCTAGGAGCTACGAATGCTACGAGGTTCCCAAGCACATAGTTGGTATATAGATATGAGATGATACCGTATGAGTGTTTTGTGTGTTTTTAATGATAGTCTATCATTATGATAGATCTATATGTTTTACCATTGTTTTAAGACGAATCTGATAAATGCATGTTCAAGCTTTGTTGTTCTTAATTGCCCTTGAAATATCCGATTTTCCTCCAAATCTCACCAATTTTCTATGTCGATGTTCCTCAAAATCTGGCATTTCCCCTTGTTCGTTTCCGCAGCTGATGTTTTTTCCACATATTTCCAACAAAGAAACCATCAACCAGATAATCCAATAACATAACTTAGTGTTTTTCCACATATTTCCACATTTTCAACCAGATAAATCCTCCAATAACTCCATCAAATCCTCCGTTTTTCTCGGGTCCGAGCAGGAGATCCAATCCGCCAAGCGCGCCTTCGCGGCCGTGCTGAGCGATGGATCGGTGGTCTCCTGGGGACCCAAAGGACATGGTGGCAGCGATGTGGTGCGCGTCAAGGAGGTGCCGGCTCTGGTGGTGAGTTTTGATGTTTTTTTTTTTTTTCGATGGTGATTCATGGTGATTTATTCATGGTGATTCATGGTGGAAATGATGATTATATAATGGTTAATGGTTCATGATGAATCTGAATAATGGCTAAGAATGGTGTTTTTTTCCTTAGGAGGCATAAGACAACTAGAGTTTCTGCTGGAATATGCTGGCTATATCTATGGTTAATGTGGTTTTTAAGCAACTACCATGGTTAAGAATGGTTTATAATGGTCAACATTGCTGAATCATGGTTATAAATGGTGATTCATGGTGATTATTGGAACTACCTGTCTGATGTGGAATAAGACTTATGGGGATTTAACATTGCGAAGCCAGGGCCCATGGAAATGCCGATGATTATGATGATTTCACCTGTTAAACATGGCTTGCTGGAAAATGCGCTTTTTTCATGGAGGTTTTGAAGGGGAAATCATCTATCAATAGGAGATTTTCAATTGTTCTGTTTGACTATGGAGGGTAAGACTTATGGGACTTCAACTCAACTTGTGGGATATAGATTATAAATGATTATAATTATAATTGATTATAATTTGGTTCCCAAAATACCGATGGTTGAGGCACAATCATCCCCAAACTGGGCCACCAACAGATACCAACAGTGGGAAAATCACAGTTTTTTTTAAGGTTTCTGAACCACCTACGGCATTGTGCCCATACCTTGAGGATGTTTGTTTTTTCACGCCGTTATTGCTTTTTCCATCCAGCCCCTTTTTCTTGGTTCTACTGTCCATTGGTAATCCCGATGTACCACTCACTCCCAATGCTGGATCTAGCCCCGGATGTTTGAATCCCAATAATCCCATCATTGAATATCCATTCATTATCCCGATAATCATCATGAAATAATCCATTAATCATCATCAAATAATCCATAAATCATCATTAATCATTAATCATCAATAATCATCAATAATCATCAATAATCATCAATAATCATCAATAATCATCAATAATCATCAACAATCCTTGTTTTCCCCCAAGTTACACACGAAAAAAGACACAGCCGCCATAGGTGGAACAGGTTCATGCAACCACCCGTGCATTTGCGGCCATCTCCTCTGATGGTCGCATCATGGCCTGGGGGTCACCAGAACATGGCAGCCTGGTGGAGTTTGTTGCTTGATGTTGGTTGGTTCATGGTAAACCACTTGGGATTAGTATGGATTACAGCCCGAGCGCTGGTTAAGAATCCGAAAGCTTGAGGCCCAGGGTCCCTCAAATTCTTATTTTTAAATGCAGGCAAATTTACACCACAACAGGCCGAGGGTCCCTCAAATTCTTAAAGTACTATGTGTTTGGTATAGCTGAACATATGTAGCCCGCCTTGGATTCGAGCCCCTCAAATTCTAATACAGTGAATTCTTGTACAATACTCAAGCTGTAGTTATGTTTGCTTGAATATATGGGTTCATATAGTAAAGATTGGGGGTTAATAGATGGTTTCTTTTCGTGTTTTGGGGTGTTGGAACATTTCGAAGGAGGTTGTGGATGTTTGTTTACTATCAGATTTTTTAGGTGTTTATTGATTGAGGCAAATTGAGCCGTATCCTTATGTTTGGGTGGAGTTGTTCTTTTTGGATCTTTTTGGGGGATTAGAGTGTAATTATAATAGATGCCAGCAATGTTTCTCTCTCCAATGAAATCATTCACTGTTTCACGGGTAGAAGACTGCCCCGGGGTGTTTTTTAGGCTCGATTATGGGTATTTATTGATGTTTCCTTCTGTATACTATTGTCACATGTCACATGTCAATACATTTCGGAAAGTTTGGACTGGCAAGATGACGCCATCGCCATGACTTGTTCAATTGAAAGGTTGTCAAGAGAACAGCGCTACAGTAAGCGGAGATTCAGACGGTTTAGGGTAAAGTTTCTTCCATTCGCATGAAAAAGGGGTTCGAAGACAGTGATCGAGGTGGTGATTGTAGCAGAGTTGAAAGTGACTTGAGCAACCTATGAGAAGCTGCTGGATCTGAAAGAACAACCAGATTCACATGAAACTTGATCTGGTTGGCGGGTTGTCCTACCCTGAGATGATCAAAGTTATATAACATTATATAACTCATGTTGGCTCATCTTGTTGGGATTGGAGCCAACCAGTGACTTCACCGATGGCTTAAAATCCATCGCTCCTGAAGGATCCACCCCAACGGTGCTGCTGGGATGACTCTTCCACAGTCCTCATCCTCGCTGCACTCGCAGCTAAGAGTGCTAACTGCTAACATTGAACCGGAATTCTCCAGACTTTGCATGATCTGGCATGCTATTTCATTATATCATAATACATCGCACTATATGGCCATTGCAGCTGTGATTCGAGAGGCTTGACCAACTCATTTCCAAATAGTGGCCAGATGGCCTGAAGTGGTGCTTGGAGGACTGTGTTTTTCGTTTGACCTGCGGCACTTGCAGCAAAAAATCGCTGTGAGATAGACCGCTGATAGTAAAAAGTCGAGCTGCTCGTACCTTTTGCCTTGCTAAAGCTTCAAATCCCTGCAAAACAGATAAAACATGATAAAACGGTCTATTTGACTCAATAAATCACACAAAAATGAAACACATTGCCGGATTCCGAATGGTATGGACATGCCCACACCTAACTGCTCACCCAACATCAAGCCAATCGGTACCTGTCTGAGATAAATGGGTACCCCCATTTCATCCCACGGTTGGAAACGCCCATTGGGCATAAGTGAGAGATAGTGAGAGTAAATTCCCCATTTTCAGACCCAAAAGCCCAAGGATATCCAAGGATTATATTAGTTGGTTATATCCCAACTGTCGTTCCAATAGCAATAATATCACCATATATCACCTATCAGGTACTGATCTCAATAGTGATCAATGGATATCAATGGTATTAGCAATATTTACTGTATCTCATTTGATCTTCCCATATCCTCCACATCAACGAGGTTTCGTGGCCGAGTTTGAGATTCAGACCTTCATCAGTCGAAATCACCGGCAGAGAGACCGAGACTTGAATCATCATCCGACGACCCCTCATCAAACATGGCAATGGACAATTCACCTCTCACTGGATAGAAATCATGCAATGTACATATCATATGGTCAAAGTTATGTTAGAAGTCCCAGTTTCAAAAAATCACATGCAAAGAGAACATCCTTCATGTTTTAAACATTCACTGATTATCACCGATGATAAGCATCTTAAATATATGAGCTGAGAAAAGGTAGGTCCTGGAAGGGGTGCTCAGTTGTTTATATATATATATATATCTAAATGTATGCGTACACATCTGTATGAATTGTCCACTAGTAAGTTAACGTGAAGGTATAGCTGAAGCTGCAATCATAGGAATTCAAACTTGGCTTGTTGGTCATGGCTTTTGTGGTTCAAACTGGAACCTTTCTTCGCTCTGAAATGGTGCTAAGGCCTTTCAATTGTAGTTCTGAGGGGCAAGGAGACCTCTACTTCCCAGAACAGGCTCGGAGGTGTTGGCGTATTCTACAATTTCTGGACATGTCGCGGAAAAGAATTATGAACGGTTTAGTTTAAGGAATGGACACCATATTTCCCATGAAATACTGTACCAGCAATTGCTGTTTTCCTGTAGATTGTCCCAACAAAACCAATCCATTGAAACGAACTGCAAAAAATTGAGGAACCGTATTGAAGAGTTTGGTCAATCGGGTTTCTAGCTGTCCTTCAGTTCTACTATTATACTATCCCAATGATCAGTAGGGTTGATGGAGGCGGTAGTCGCTCACTGTTTCGTTTCGACACAATAAACCATTCATCTGGAGACGTTTGGTTCAATATTTTGAAGGCATCATTTTCTTAGAGGGATTCTTCCATCTACTATTGTTCAGCATGGTTCAGGAACAGGGTGTCATCTAAACGTTTGGGTTTGAGGGTCCTTGTACCCGAAATCGCGTGGTTGATAATCATGGCCACGGAATGGGCAATATGAGGATAGGTCAGAACCTCTTACTACCATATTCTGGGGGAATACACATTCATTCACCAGCTATTTTTGGGATTTTTGAGGGAATAGCTATAGGACTTCTGGGGTTTTGACTCATAGCCATAGCTATAGCGGTGGGCCAATGTTTGGACCATCGGAACTGCAGGTGGTGGTTTCATGCGTGAGCTTCATCGCGCCTTCCATGAGCTCTTGGCTTCCCAGCTTAGTCGAAAGTGAGGAAAGGTGGATCAATTGCCATGTTGAGAGCCTGTTTGAAAGGTCTCACATGTTCCGCATTTGAGGTGTGTAACGAATTTATTGCCATGTTGCAGATTTGAGCATTTCTACGAAAGTTTCCTGGCACTAGCTGAGCTGGTCGGCTTGATCTTCAGACTCTGAGCAGTTGAGAACTGCTTGGTTGGTTTAGTAAGCAGATTGAAATTGGAAAAATATTTAAAAATATTGGATCCATATACTCCAATCATAGGGGAGCTTTATCCATTATGTCTGGAAGGAATCACTGGGATAGCAGCATTGGACGGGAAAGCTTACAGGAATCCCCTACGAGGCCCTGTGTACACTTGACATACACTTGATATATCTTGATATCAGTTGCCATTTATGGTTGAAAACCATGGTTTAGTAAACTATCTCTCCAATCAATCCATGGGTTCGAGAACACCTGCCCTGCCCCCGAGGTTGATGCATTTGGCCATCGCGAATTCCATGTCTCAGTTGACCCTGAAATCCTTCGGACTGCTGGTGAGCATGTCTCTGTTTGCGGCTAGGGCAGGTCAGCATTGAGTTCAATATTTATCATGGACCATGATAGATCAGTCATTGAAGATGGGCAGTTCCAGTTGGAGCGCCTTCTTCCAATCCCAGCAATGGTTTGGGGAATTTTCAATTATCTAGCCCATGTGGGGCTTAAAGTAGGCTGTTCCCTCAACGGCCCCAACGTCATGCGAAAATGATGAAGCCACAGGAATTTCACCATCCCGTGCCGTGGGATGCCACGGCAGGTTTGGTGCTGCGGTCAATCTGTGTGGTTTCACCGGGTCGAGGGAACCCAGTGCGGAGCAGGAGCAGCTGGATTTGACCACCAAACATTGCCTCAATGGAGCACCAAATTTGGGGATTTTGATGAATTTTGTGGGCCTTTTTACCCTCTGACTTATTTAACATAGCCATGGTATAGATGGCCCATAGAAATAGATGGTTTGCCTATATGGTGATTTTCCATGGCGAACTGTGAATGTCATAACCAGAGGGCATTTGTCTTTTTCTCAATTCAAAAGACCCAGGTGATCCCAGGTGGGGTACACCCTGGGTAAAGTAAGGTGATGTTGGCGACAGCCGTGATCAGCCTGATGATCATGTGTAGCTTGACCTTTGGCGGAGCCTGGCGCCGAGCTTTTTTTTTTTGGCCATGGCACTCTGGTGAATCATCTCCCGGAAAAAAGATGGCCATGCCAGAACTGGGGGCACCATTTTCAGAGACACCCAACTGGAAGATTTGTTGAGTTTGAAGGTCATGACAAAATTCAACAGCTCCTGGTCGGGTTTCGTGATCAGCTTCTCCTTCCCGCTGTTCTTTTGGATCGCGTGGCAGCCCAGATTTGACGGCTTCGGCTGCGAAGGTTGTGAGGGGGAAATGATGGGAAATGCCTGGTCTCTGTGTCATACTTGACTGGCTAGTTTACTATACTTTACTACCTTCAAAAGTTACCATAGTTCCCTTGCTTTGAGGCTTTTGAAGATGTTTGAATGCTAGAAACATCTAGAAACATCACCTGATCATCACCTTTTTAGTGGCCTGCAGATGGTGTGTCATCTGCTGACTCCAGGTCTGGAATTGTGGCAATATTCTGAAAACGCTGTGGGAGCAGGAGAACAGGACGCCGGATCTTCCGATTCGCCAAAAAAAAGACTCACACGAGATATCACGAGATCAATTGATCCTGGAATATCAGGCTATGGTCATGTCTTGAACTTCAAAGAACACCAACATAGTTGATTGCACGTCTTCAAATTAACTACTTTGAATCTCATCAGGGCAATTTTTTAGGGCATGCGGTCTGCCCTTCATCTCCGGTGTTTTCTTGGGGCAAACTGTGCAGGCAGATGCAGGAGAACATCGAAGAGAAGTTGGCCCTGGCACTTCAAGATTTGGCAAGGAGGCAATCCGATCATCTGACATGGCAAAAATGTGGTTTCTAAGCCAATCTAGGGGCAACATGAGCCATTAATCATGTGGATCATCGATCCAACTTGAACTTGCCGATTTTATATGGGAACCATTGGTTTTCCCCAAAGCATGGATTTGAACACTAAGATTGCATATGGCCCCATATAAAATGGTCGATTTTTGGATGATTTTTCATAGTTTTTTCTTTTTAAAAATAGGGAGTACTAGTGCCCATTTTTTTTGGCAAAGATGGGAATATACTCACCGAGCCCAGAAACGGATATGGATGGATATGGGATATACTTCTGAATCTTGGAGAAACAACGCATGGAGCTATTATTATATATATATAATTATATAATATTATATATACAATTCTTGTATGATGATTATGATGTAATCATAGTAATCATATATGATCCGCACTGGATAACTAGATCTTGGAGAGATAAAGTCTAAGGCGCCGCTAGTGCTGGTCACTCCAGTAGTGCAGCAATCCACGCCCTGTGGTGTTTGAAGCTTCTGGCAGCTAAACGTGATACTCAGAATCATGGATGGCAGGACAAAAACAACATCATGTCACCACGAGTCAATACATGAAAATACCCTCATGACAATGCCAAAGTTGATGTAGAAATCCATTAGACCCAAGCAGACACAAAAAAATGTGTCGTTTCCGTCGCAACCTCTATTGGTCACCAGGTCTGGTGACGAGTGGAGCTGGCTGGGATTGCCGTGACCTGCTAGCTGTCTTGATTTCATGGACTTCCCATGAGGTCTCATTGGACACTGAGATAATTTGGACCACTCCCAATTTGCCCTGAAAGTGTGAGGATGGATGCGGCTTGCAGATGGATGCGGTGTTTTTAGTTTCTGTAAAGATCAAATAAAAGGTACCAGACTTTGCCCAACAAATCTAGGTCAAGGCTGTGATATTACCTGCTGCAGAATTTTCTCCAGATTCTGTGGGACTTGGCAGGTCCACTCTAGAAGACCCTGAGCCGTTCCACCATGCCACGCTGAAAAAACATAGTTTGATGCTCAGTCCGAAGCGGTTTGCTCTGTGGTCAACCAGCCGGCCAGAATTTTTCACAGGGAAGTTGATTGGGGTTTGAACACGAACCAATCTTGGGACCCGTGGTCCCGTGGTCCCGTGACCAAGGCATGTTTTCATTGCAGGCCCGTGTGACGGTCTGTTCTGTTGTCCAGACTCCAGACTTGGAGGTCTCGAGATCTGCGGTAAACCCCATTTCTGGGACATCGATCTTCAACTTTTTGCAGATATACAGAATTTAGGACCCCTGTTTTTTTCGATCGATTTCACGTTTTTTCAGGTTTTTTTTCCATAGATTTCTATAGATTCTATTGCATTCAACATCATGAAACCATCCAATGTTTAAATGGACGCCGAGGGAATCGATCTCATCATCCCGTTGCGCAGGGCTGGACCCAGGGATCGATCTCCAAGGTGACCTCCCTGTTGCAGGGCGACCCAGTTTGAGGGGAATCATTGATGGACAGTGGACAGTTTGAGGGGATGAAGAGTTCTATGTTCATGATTTCTCTGGATATAAGTATAAAGTAGTATAAACTGTATAGATAAGATTAGATAAGTACAAAATTGTAGCTGTATGTAGTACTTATATGTACTTATGAAATCTGAATCAGCGCGCCAAGCAAACTGGTACTCTTTTTCTTGCGAGTTCAGGGAGATTTGCAATGACGTTCACCCAATTCGGACCTTCTGAACGACTATGCATGGCTAGGATACAGTCATGGTTCCCCAATACCTCTGTGGACACGCAGCAGTTGTGTGAAGTTCCAGAGCTTCAAATTGTTGGATATGCTGCTGAGCTGCCGCGGCTTTCCAAATAGATAGTTTTTCTATAGGATTTTCATGGATTTCCTAGTCACTTCAAAGCATGTCTCTAAAAATCCCTAAATCCAACGGCCAATTTTCCAGCACACCAGGACAAATATCGAATTCCCGTTGGGATTCGATGATTCCTGTGGCCTTACGACATCTGTTGACCTAGGAGAACGACGCAGTCTTCGGATGGTAAGCCAGGTGGCTGGGGTGCCTATCTTGCAGTGGCGACCATACGGATCCATGATGATCCATGTAGCTTCGAACTCGAACTCGTTGGAATTTCATGCGGAGTTGTGTGCGATTCCTCACGCATTCTATGGCCGGAGATGGGCATTTTTCCTTGGCCGGAGCTCCAAGGCTACCTTGAGGTGGAGCCAACAGCTGTCAGCTTGCCCAGACTGCGCTGTCAAAGGACATTTGGTTTGCTTGCTTTGTACTAGCTGAAACTTTCCTGGATACTGATGGTTTTCAACATCTCCATCTGAGATATCTGAGTTGGGGTGATTCCCAAATTGACTCCTAGTTTTCTCAAGTTCAGCTGAAAAGCTGTGTTTTCATTTCTGAAAAACGGTGATGAGGCGTCCAAAAGTAGCGTACTGGCTGAAGATAGTGTCTGGAGCTGAGCAACGCCGTTCTTGGCACATCCCCAACTCTTGGTGGATACATCCGCGATTCGCCGATTCACGGTGGATAGTCACATGTACCCTCTGGTAAACTAACATAACTATGGAAAATCACCATTTTTAATGGGAAAATCCACTATAAATAGCAATTTTCCATTGCTATGTTAGTTCACCAGAGGGTAAATCATAGATCTTTGTCTTTGATTCAATCACCCAGCAAGTCACCGGAATTTTACATGTTTTTACCATGCATGGAAACAGAAAAATCCAATGACTAATCCTTTCAATCACCATTCAATCACCATAAGTCAGCTATTAGATGACCAGATGACCATTTCAATCTGGTTATCTCCCACTTGACGCTGACTCGGCAAGGTGGATCCTGAGAGTGGCCAGACCAGCCAGGCGGGAGGTGATAGGCGTTTTTTGTTTTAAATGATATGATTCGATGTTAATGATATAATTATATATTTAATAGATATATAGATATTATACTTGTAGATGTACGTTATCTTTGAATATTTGAATCTTTGAATATTTGAATCTTTGAATTTATGAATCTATGATATAATCTATGAATCCATCCATCCATCCATCCATCCATCCATCCATCCATCCATCCATCCATCCATCCATGTATATTATTATATATATACATAGTGTATATATATATATATTTTTATACACATAGTGTATATATAATATATACACATACATACATGTACATTTCTATACATGACAAAATGGTATGACATCACACCATATGTCAACGTCATTCAACGTCAACGTGCCAGGTGTCCCCAGCCCTTCACAGACGTGAGATTCTGGCGGGGGCATCCCAAGGGTCTCAGCTCCAGCTGTAGCGGCGTGCCCCAATTTTTACCATATATTATTTTGTCATGGTATATATATATATGCGTATAATTGTATATATATACGTATATATATATATTTATATATATACGTATATATATATATTTATATATATATATATATTTATATACGTATATATATATACATATACATATATAATGGGATAGTACCAATAATATGATAGTTATATTTGTGATCAGAAGGGGATACATATAGCAATTTCAATGTCAAGCATATGGGCAAAGTAATATTAATATTGGATTTAACCACCAAATACAGCAACACATGGAATATATCCAAGAAATATAGAGATGTGATGGTCTAAGACCAACCATGTCATAGGGGATTTATGCGGATTTCATCGGCTATTGTATGGAAACATTGGGATATACGCAACAATAATCCAGGCAGCTGGAAAACCAAGAGAAAAAATAGATGATCTTGGGATATTTTGGTCATTATCCTTATTTGTTTATGGAAAGTGGAGTTTTCTGCATCGGGAGAAAGCAATGTTAGCCCCTGGCACAAGCCGCAGCTTGGGGGTCTTTGCTTCCGCCAATGTATCGTTTCACCGTAGCAGTGGCACAGCGACTGCTGTGCCATGTCGGTGCCCCATACAAGATGGTGGCACACACACTGTGGTTTTTCTTCAGCTTCCGACCTTTCAGCAACGAGATCCAACCGAAAGATGTTGATATGATTTCAACGAATACTTACACGATTCCACAATTTTATCATCTAGTGCTTTAATCAACAGCTGCAATGTCCCTGCAGGACACTTTGGCAGATTGTGATAGTGTTGGCGGATATGTTTCAGGTGTAACAGGAACGCCCTTGGACCTTGGACCAGTTTCTTTTTTGTTGAAAAACCTTAAATTTTCTATTTGCAGTTGGGCCATCTTTTTGTGGGGCTGTTTGTTTCCTGGACTCATTCAATCCAAGATCAATTCCATCACTGTTGAGAAACCCCAGGCAATAGGTTGGCGATGTGCCGCGCTCGGGTCATATTCTGTCTCAACGGCGCTGTCTTGGATGATTCATAGCTGTAAGGATGATCAAATGATTTACCCTCTGGTAATTTAACATAGCTATTGAAAATGGCCATTTATAGTGGATTTTCCCATTAAAAATTGTGATTTTCCATAGCTACGTTAAATTACCAGAGGGTAATCCCAGTGGATGTTGATTTTTTTTTGGAGGAAGCGGAAGTCATCGGGTTGAAATTTGATCATAGGAGATGGCGGTAAGGCTGGACTAGACCCTGATCTTCTTCAACTCTCTTCTGAAGAAAAAAACAACTCATGTATGATGCGGTATATCTCCCGATGTGCATGTGTGTGGGTGTTTGTTGTTTTCTCCCCCAACAAGCACCATGAACCATTGATGCTGCAGCTGAGGGCTTGATCCAGCTGGTTGTCATAGTTGACAATCCCCATGTTTTTTCATTGGAGGTTGGACTATGTTCAACTATGTTCAACTTCAACTATTATTCTACCATTGAATACAGCGATGTTCGCATCAACATAGATGTTCAGAATCCCCATCAATTAGTGAACGTAACAACTCACACATCAGCAGATTTTGCGTGATCTAGGTGCCATCCGGAAATCAAAGGCCTACGGAAAT